CTTCGGGCCACGCGGTACCTTCGTCAGGTCGAGTAGACTGTCGCATAACCCTTCATTTGAAACAAAAAGTCGTCGAAACCACACCACTGGCTTTGCATAAAATCCTTTTCTTATGAGCCGTGCGTTTGGACAAACACAGTCATTTTCTCGGGTTTTCTGATCCGACCTTAGTTTATCCGATGGGCAACATGTACCCCTCTAAATGTCACTATACACGGGCTGAAATAAATTTAAGTACACATTACCCTATCTCATGTCATGATTGATAGGTGTTTGACTTATTTGATAAATTTTGACAATTTTATCGAAGTTTTTTCAAATATTAGGTCGGGAAACGTTGATTCCACGATCAAATGTAGCCTTAGTGTGTTAACATAATCGAAGGTCCGTCAGAAAACATCCGGAAACTAATCGTGGAGACTGTTTCTGTCACCACTTTTATCCTTGTCTACTCATCACTTTTTCCCAATGGGTGGATTTCTCGTTGCATTTTAACGGGAAGTAAGTTTTGATTTCGGGAAGTTGTAGCACTCTCCGAATAACGGCTACTTCGGAACCAACGACACTAATTCATACGTCTGAGGTCAGCAAGCAGGAATGCTAGTTTGTGGAAATGTCTTTTTCCGCAAAATGAGCCTAATTAAATGCCACTGCTGCATTCGGTGGCATCGTAATGGAGGAACTGTTTGGAAGTTGTACTGGCGACACGATTCGTTAAGCGCGAGCAGTGCGTCTGGAAGGAAAGAGAAAAAAAAATACTTTTCTATCATTTAATGCCAGACGGAGGGATGCTTTTTCACTGCTCCGGCATAGCTCAAACATTTGGCTAGAGCTTATTGGGAAATTCTCTTCGCTCAAGTTCCGTACTTCTCACATTCGAAAATCTTGTATTATCGAACTAGTCAAAACCTATTTATGCAACACATAATCACAGATGTAAGCCCTGTAGAAGGTATTTATTCTCAGCAATCACTAACCCGGAAGAATAATTCATTAGATTCGAGTTGTCGGTCAATCGGAGGTTCGCTCATTGCACTTTTAAGTGGAGATTTAACCTCTACGTAGTATCCACGCTTGGATTCCCAAAGAATGCTCGATTTGAGCCCAAAGAACAGGCGAATTCGGTGTGTGTGACTGTGCGTGTGCAGATTGTGTTTAAGACCTTCCTATTTGAATTGATAAATTCTGTCCTTATTTCGTCCCATTTGCTTAGTAGTAATGCTTCAGCAACAGACGCTGGAAAATTAAACATAGTTTTGACTGACAGATCCATGATTTCACTCTTATTCTCCCATTATTTTTTCACGTATTTGTGTGCGATTTCTCCGAGGAGTTAGTGTATGGGTGTGCAAGGACTTCAGCCCCGGCATTATGGTGGCCTTCTACATCTTAAAGCTTTTGATAGAATCCACTATTTACGTGTGAAAGTTGATTTATTAAGCATTAAATCCCACATTTTGATCTGCAAGTACTGAGGGGCGCAGTCATTAGTCCTTCAGGCTTTTTAACCAATTATAATGGTTTCACCGTGTAATTGGGCCCCCCATCGAAGCTTCAGCAATGTTTCGACTGGTTCCGCGATGAGCCTCCTCTTTTTGAATTTTGCTGGTTTTCTTGAGATTTACCCAAGCTCTCCTTAATTGGATTTGTGAATGTGGTGTTTTGAGATATTGCGTTTTTATGGGAACTTAAGCTCTAAAATTCATTGAAATTCGGACCAGCCCACTCTGCTAAAAAGCTCTTGTATATGCAGGGACTGCAGTTTCGGGGAGTAACGGTAAATAGTTCTGTACTTAGAAAAACTAGCCTCGAGACTCGGTTGCACTGATACGGTTGCCTGCCTCATCATTTAGCAAAAAATACTTTGTTACGAGAAGTTGGGATGTCAGCGCTTGCTGCGCAACTAATGGGTAGACACGTATGTTTTTCTTATCACTGATCTACTCTTTCACCTTTTGAAATGAATACCATTCTAAATCTCTCGTTAAAACGGAATGGCCTTCATTTAATGAAATGCATGTTCTCATGAAACCCAAATCCATTTTTGCTGTGGGCAGTAAAAGTGACCAAAAGGTAGCCTCAGTCTTTAGTTTTGTTTTTATCACTCTACAACAATAATGTCGGTATGTTACAACTCTTGCTGTCAAGGACTATCTTCAGGTGTTTTATTGTTCCAATACGGCAAGAAGCACCTCTATTTTGTCCTTCCTTTCCATCCCAAGTCATGTCACGTGTATGACATTTGGCTTCAGGCGAGTGACCCTTGTGGCAAAAATGTCAACTTGTTAGAATATCAGTTTGTTGATGGCTTTTCGTGATTATCTGGAATGTAAACTGTCCTCTGCGATCTTTCTATCACTCCACTATCGTTTGCTGGAACGCAGTACAGCGGTTGTATCGTATGAGCGTATGCAAATTTTGCCTTAAACTCCTCCGGTATTTACATATCTCAGCGCTGTTTTGTTAACCAAAGTTCACTTTTTGGCCCAAGTGCTGTCATACTTGGTTGATGGTAGCTTCGTCAGATCGTAAATCGGACTTGAAAAACGGTTCATCTGAAATGCCTTATTCTATCAGACTTTTTTCCGTTGATGCTTACGCAAGGATGTGGTTGCTAAAGTGGAATTCGAGGAAAATCTACTTAACATAACTGATATATCAACTCGTAAAAATCTGCACCAATAACATAACCTTTGAGTTTGTTTGTTTTTCCTCCAGTTATCGTTTCGTGAACGTGGGAAAACAGCCACGGATATGCAAGATCCACATCTCGACGAAGCTCACATTTTCTTTAATTTCATCAGCGTTTGTTGCAATCGACTGCAAAATTTGCCACTACTGCGGTGTGTGTAGCATTTGTCTCCTACCACTGATTCAACAACAGGGATTGCTTTTTTACGAAATAGCCATTTCGATGCGTATGTGTATGTTTGCACAATTTTTCTATCGAAAACAGGAGTAATTTATGGTGACGGGCTTCCTGTCTAGCGTCACCAGTGCTTGAGAATAATTTGGAGCAGTTGCGAATACCTCACACGTGTGTATCTGTTCTTTTCAGATTGCTCTAGAGAAGGTCCAAAAGTCACAGCAACACCAGCAGCAGCTGGACGCTACTCTGGCAAGGGACTCCCCTCAGTCCCAGCCCCAGACACCTTGGTCGCCTCTCATCGATTGCCTCGTCTCGGCATTCTACGAGGTCACCGACGGCCTCTCCTTCTATCTCTGTCGTCGGACTACCCAACCACAAAGCAGCC